CTCTGTCACACCTGTTCCACTCTGCCATTGTAATGCAGAAGCAGACGCAGACAATTATACATAAACAAATGGGTGTGGCTAAATTCCAATAAAACTGTATTTATAAACACTGAAATTCTAGTTTTATATAATTTTCTATCACAAAATATTATTATTCTTAATGTGTGGACCATGCAAAGACAGACAGAGTATTGGATTTGGTCCGTGGGTCATAGTGTGGTGACATCTCCATTAGAGAACAAAGGGAGAAGGCAAAAAAAGCTTAATTTCAACTAAAGACATAAAAGGGGAAAAACAAGGAGAAGGGGTAGTAAGAAACCATAAAGGGGTTAATAAACAGGAAACATAGAGAAGATGTCAGGAAAATTAAAAAGTTACCCCAATAAATGTGAACAGAATAACTCTTCTAGTAAAGGAGATTCTCAGATTGGGTATAGCCTAAATGATAATAAGTACTAGAATAAGTAAACCATCGTGTATCTATATTATAGAACAATAATACTACTTAAAGTGTGATTCATGTAACAGTACCAGTCAGAAAACTGTTACTTGTCCACAGTGAAATAAGTATAGAAATAGAGTATTTGGAAACTTTTATAATATTGTGACATTGTCACAACATCCATGTGTGAGATTATCTTTCTAGTAATTCATTTTATTGTATTTCACAAAACTCTCAGTCCATAATAGTTTGGAAATTAACAACAGAAAACTGGTTAGAGAATCACTGTTAGAGAATTCACTGCAGGTATTTAAAAAATGAAGTGGATTTGTCTGTGTAATCATGATAAATTTTTAAAAAATGTAGAACAGCATAGAAGATGTGATCTAGTGTGTATTTTAAAACCACCAATTTTTAGAAAGTGGAATAATTTGCATTGAATTATTAAATCATGATTATCGAAAAAGAGATTTTTTTTTTCCTTTTTGTCTTTTTTACTGACCGGCAACGGGATCGCAACCCTCGGATGTGATCTAGTGTGTATTTTAAAACCACCAATTTTTAGAAAGTGGAATAATTTGCATCGAATTATTAAATCATGATTATCGAAAAAGAGATTTTTTTTTTCCTTTTTGTCTTTTTTACTGACCGGTAACGGGATCGCAACCCTCGGTGTTGCGCCCGTACCGGGGACCGGCAACGGGATCGCAACCCTCGGTGTTGCGCCCGCACCGCGCTCAGCCAGTGAGTGGGAACCGGTCTCCACATGGGATCTGAACCCTTGGCAGGAGCGCCGCCATGGCACACTCTCCAGTGCACCACTGGGCCGGCCCAAAAAAGAGATTTTGATTGGTGGGGTAGGATTGAGGGCAGTGGCGATAAGGAGTATTTTCATGGTTTAGTCTAATTTATAGCAATGTGTATTTATTATGTAATGCTTTTAAAAATATTTTGTTATTTAAATTAACAAGCTCTTGGTCTTTTCAGTAAGTGGTACTGGTCAATTGAATATCCATACAGAAAACAAAAACTTTTAACCTCTATTTCACACAATACACAAAAATTCATTTGAGATGGATCATAAACCAAAATGAAAGTTGAAACAGTAAAGCTTCTAGAAGAACACATGGAATAATGTCTTCATGACTTTGTCTTCATGATTTCTTAAACTAACACAAAAAGCACCAAGTACATGGAAAAGATTATATATTCATATTCTATATATGTGTGTTTGTGTATATATCTGATAAAGGACTTTGTATCCTCAAAGTTAATAAGGAAAAGACCAGCCAGTTAAAAATTGGGGAAAAGGTTTGCAGAGGCACTTCACAAAGAAGATATCCAGACATCTAATTTGAATATGAAAAAGTGCTCAGCATAATTAATCATAAGGGAAATGCAAATCATAACTACTACACATGAATCATAATGGCTAAAATTAAAAGGACTCATAAGACCAAGTGTTGGTAAGGATATAGATAGAGCAAGCGGAACTCCCATACTTTTCTGGTGGGCATGTTAATTGGTACAATTGCTTTGAAAAACTGGTGCTATCTATTGAAGCTGAATGTACATAAACCCTATGATGCAGCAGTTCCACTCCTGAGTATTTACCCAACAGAACTGAGTGCTTATGTTCAACAAAAGACAGATATAAGAATATCCATATCAACTTTATTCTTAATGGCCAAGGAATCTCCATCAAGAGTATAAACTGTAGTATATTCATATAATTTAAACTACAGCAATGCAAAGATGGAAATGTTGCTACACACAACAGCATGTATGAATCTTATAGAGAAAATAGTGAGTAAAAGGAGCCATAGACAAAAGAGTACCCACTGTATGGTTCAATTTACATGATTTATGATGATTGAAGTCAGCATAATGGCTTCCTTTAGGGGGGATATTGATTGGGAAAGAGGCACATTTCACACATATTCCAGAATGTGGGAGCATTCTAGAATATAAGTTTAATATCTTAATTTGGCTAGTGGCCACACGTATATGAAGGTGCTTCAGAAAGTTCATGGAAAAATAGAATTGAAAGATAATACAAATGTTTCCATGAACTTTTAAAGTACCCTCATATGTATATGTAACTATTCATTAAGCTCTGCACCTGTACACTTAATACCCACATGCTTTACTGCAAGTTATGCCTCAATAAAAATGTTAATAAAATACCAACTCATTCTTTACTCACAGATCTGAAATTCTGTCTTTATTATATACCAAATTCTTAGCATATCCTAAGACCTTTTTCTAGGCCTGCATTCTTTTCCATTGGTCTGTTTTGCAGAAGTACTATTCTGATTTAATCATTGTTGCTTTATAATACATTTAATGGTAAAATTATTTCCCATTTATTATTCTGTTCTATGATTATCTTGAATATTTTCACCTTTTTATCATTATAATCTTTAGTCTTATTTATTTAGATAATTTTCATTTTTGTCAAATATTCACAATTCTCACATACCCTCATGCCTTTGGAATTTTGATTGGAAATTACTGGCATCATTGATCAAGTTCAGAGACACTGTATGTCTTTTTAGTTTAGTTGTCTTCATACAGTTCCTGTTTTTGTCAAATATTCACAATTCTCACATACCCTCATGCCTTTGGAATTTTGATTGGAAATTACTGGCATTATTGATCAAGTTCAGAGACACTGTATGTCTTTTTAGTTTAGTTGTCTTCATACAGTTCCTGTAGTTTAATTACATTTGTTTTTGCACATTTTTGTTTTGCTATTGTGAATTGGAACTTTCTTGTTGTTTTTATGATCTTTGATAAATATTTTTGATATTATTGTAACTCGTAAATGATAATAGTGATAATACCTATTATTTATTGAACACTCTGTGCTAAATAATCTTATTTATTTCTTATAACAACCCCTATCAGGTAAATACTGTTACAACATTATGCTCATTGTACATTTGGTGGCTTGAGGGTGAACAGCTCCAGAGCTATACTTCCTGTACACACTGGACTGTTGGCCTCAGTGTCTTCAGATGAAGGAGAACAGATGTGTGTGTTGTGGTAGTGGGGGCGGCAAGCGTGAGCTCAAGTCCAAAATTGGTGGTTGTGACTGACAAGATAGTGAGTGACTAGTAATTAGATGCTTATCAGTAGGACCCACACTAAAGTGGATTTTTTTGTACATGCTTATTTGTGTTTGTAGAATACAATATTTTAGTTTGGACTTACTCAAACCAAAAAGACTCCTATCGTTGTGTTCTTTTTTTTGATCATTGACAAATGATTTAATGATCATCTTATATATTCTCAGGGTACTATTGTATTTGCCAAACGATGATAGTTATTGTTTTAGTTGTGTTCTTTGTTTGCAGGGAACCACTACTCATCCCCACCAGCTGAAATAATGAGAGTATGTTGTAAAGATATGCATGGCAGGAAGAGAAATGGACTTTTGTGGATATCCAAGAGGTGGATCCATAGAGTGGCCAGGACTTGTGGAGATTAAAACTGTCTTTTGTTTTGAATCAAAATCAGCTTTAGGCAGCTTGGCTTAGCCGCAAGAGTTTTTGACCTTCGCTATAGTAGGCTATCTTTATCTTGCTTCAGCTGCCTCCGCTTTTTTTGTCTATTTGACCTTGTACTACCAACTTGTTTATTTTCTCTGTGGCCCTAGATGAAATTTTGGAGACAACATTTGTTTGGCTTAGACAGTTACTGTGTTTGGCCCATGCTTCATGGGCTTAAGACAGGCCATGGACTGGCTGCCTTAAGTTATGTATCTACTGCAGTAGGTCTAGTCATTTGTGGCCAGAGAGAGAGAGATGGATGGTCATCTAAAACATGACCCGTTTAGGCTACCTCTTCAGTAGCAAGGTTGATTTGCCCTAGAGAGAGGGGATGTGATAATAGTGTTTACTCTGATTAATGTGTTTAGTAGCCATTGCATGCTTTGTTTAGGCTACCTCTTCAGTAGCAAGGTTGATTTGCCCTAGTGAGAGGGGATGTGATAATAGTGTTTACTCTGATTAATGTGTTTAGTAGCCATTGCATGCTTTCCCTTCTCTTTTAAATCTAAAGTGGCTAGCATTGAAAATAGCAGTTGTACTTAAAGACAGAGTAGCACAGAAAGGGAAATATTAAAGAGAATGCTTATATACGAGACCTGATAACAGTCCTCTTTGTTCAGTGCTTTGTAAGCTTGAGAACACATATTCTTTTATCTCTCATAGGTAGCTTGGTTAAAGTGTGTTTAGTTTGGATTGTTAAAATCTTGGATGAGTTAGTGATAAATATTAGAGGAGTTTTTTTCCTTTATTTTAATAACTAGTTTTGGCTTGAAAAGAGATGTTTGAGGATTTTGCAAACCCCAGTATTATCAAACCCCTTTAAGAATATTCCCTGGTATATGTGTATTTATTTAACCCAAGATCAGTGCTGAATTTATGGTATATCATGAGATGCTTATTATGATAGTACATAATTTATGGCAAAGCCAAAAAAATATTATATTCAATAATATGTGGGTATTCGCAGTAAAATTGTATGTAAATAGTTGTTAAATTGATTCCAGGTTGGGCCATGCAGGCTGCTGCCTATATCTTCATAAATAGGAAATGGAAGGATGACAAGAGCCATTTTGAAGACATGATTGATTATTTTTGTGATATCCGTGAACCACTTCAACTCCTCATATTCCCAGAAGGGACTGATCTCACAGGTAAGGCAGCCTGGGTTTGTATCACAGAATTTTAAAACATGGAGGAGCTCAGAAACCATCTAATCTAAACTTCTTACTCTTCAGATGAAGTAAGTGAGTACCAACAAGATTAATGGCCCACCCTTAAGGTCACTCTGTTAATCAGTAGCACATCAGGACCCAGAACTCCTGGCTTCCAACTCACTGAATTTATAATAGGCAACCCCAAGAGGTCATTATTATTCACACTTGCTATCCTAGAGCTTTATATTTTAAGCCTCAAAATATATTTTATAATATTAGCCTTTTATCTTTGCGTAAACCTAGTTTTAAAACCATGTTTTAGGTAAAATTTGTCCTCCCCTACCTATTCTATATATTCTTTTGTCCTCTCCCAAAGTATTTATTTACCCATTAGACCCTTTTTTCCCTCAACTTCTTTCTTACAAGAAAAGGATCTGATAGTAACCAATTTTAATTACTCTTGAAGTTAATACGTTATTTTTCTCCTGATATTTAAGCCTAATCCCTACTCTAGGCAGGAAAGCCTTTGTCCCTTACTCAAGAAAATTCAGCCATCATTGAGTTGTGGAGGGGACACAGAAGGACATGTTTATAATTTTTCTACTTTCCCAGATGTCAAACCAGATAGACCAAGAATGACAGTGGATTTCAAGGAATTCTTAAAAAGATTTTAAACAAAATACTGTACAGTCTATCATCCTTACTAAATCAGTGGTTTTCACACTGTTTTAAACCACAAGTCATTTTTGCAGATGAAGCCTTATATTGCAGTGTAGGATGTAAAACAGATAAAAGTAGAACTGCTGTGTTTGAGTACTGGGAGGAATGTGTGTGGGGGGGTACAGCTTGGACAGGAAGTAGTTCTGTAGAGTCTTTGGATCCAAAAGAGCAAAATTTACCTTTAATACCCTGATAACTTCAAGAAAGATACAGCAGAATTTGAAAAGGATCCATGGATGAAGGTCTCCTGTATGAGGGAACGCAGATTGAAGCAGGATAGAACTAAAATCTAAAAATTGCAAATGCTATGGAGAGATGGAACATGAACTTGTCTTCCAAATCCTTGATACTAGACTAAGAAGGGTAATCTTTAGAACTTGAGAGGGCAACAGGTAAATGAACATACTAATTCACACTATGCACATAGTAACTTATGGAATCCATTACTCAAAAAGAGATTTCAAAATGAAAAATACAAATTACACAAATGTATAAGGAAGTGAATGGGTAACTGAGCCATAATAGGTTGATAAGGGAAATTCAGATATTTTTGGAAACATTTACCATAGATACCAACGAAGAGATCTTTAATTCATATATTACAGCCAGCCTGCCATATTTAGATTTTATAATACTTAGAATGTATAATACTTAAATTTGGGTACTGAAATGTTAGCTTCATTTAATACATGTAGAGTATAGAAAGCCATTTACTGAAATTACAGATTGATTGATATTTGTGAATGCCAAAACGTACACTAAAGAATGGCAACTTTGGAAGTTAGTAAATAAAAGATAATAGAGAAGATGATCATGTGTTGCTGCTACTCTGGTACATTAGTGTTAATGTGTTCATACATTAGGCTTTCAAAGTCTATAAAATATATATTTAAAACGTTTTTTGTTCTCTTTTTTCTCAAGTTTCTTTTATAGGTAATTAACTTTAATCTAGTTGCATATTTTTAGAGTCCAGAGTGCTCACCGTTACACAGTGTATTCGCATATTTTTTTTAAGTTAAAATAGTATTTACATTTTAAGGCCAACTTGCAAAAGCCAGACTATTTGCCAAACAGAGAAAACAGAGTGATCCCGAAGCTTTAAAATGTTGTGGGCTTTTTTTTACTGAGTTGGAAAAACATGACATTTTTTTTAAATAGGCTTACAAAGTATCTCCAATTTGGAAAAAGTACCTGTTAATTAAAAGGTGATTTTGGTTACCACAGTTAACTTTAAACCTGGGCTTTTAAGCCCAAAGAAAACATTTTAAAATCCACTCTAAGTTCTGAATCTAGCTTGCTTGCACATTTTAAAATTAGTGCATTTAAATGTATCTTTCTATACATTCTATCTTAATACATGAATTATTTGAATTATCCTTGGTTGTAACTTTTTTCTTCTTCATGGAAGCAATATATGTTAACTTTGGGAAATTTAGAAACATAGAAGTATGTACAAAAATTGCTATAATCCCACTACTCATAAATACTGTTCTAATTTTGGTTCATTTCCTTCAGGTCATTTGGTCACACACACACGCATAGGCCTTTATATATATATACACACTCATATAATCTTAAACCAAATTGGAAAATTGAGATCACATTTTCTTTGTTCTTTTTTCACTTAATGTTATATTGTAATCTTTCACATCATTATTTATTCTTCAAAAATATGTGTTTTAAAGGTTGGGCTGTTTTATAGTATATTGATATATCGTTAGGTTTCTCCAGAGAAACAGAACCAACAGGATATATAAATATAGAGAGACTGAGATTTATTTTAAGGAATTTGCTCTTGTGATTGTAGCAGTTTGTCAGGTTCAAAATTTGCAGGATAAGCCGGCAGGGTGGAGATTCAGGAAAGTTACAGTTCAAGTCCAAAGGCAGTCTGGAGGCAGAACTGCTTCTTCCTTAGCAAGGAGGGGAGCACCTCTGTCATTTTCTGTTAAGGCTTTCGAATGATTGGATGGGGCTCATGCAAATTATGGAGGGTAATCTGTTTTACTCTGTGTACCAATTTAAATATTAATGTAATCTAAAAATACCTTTATAGAAACATCCAGAATAATGTTTGACCAAATACCTTTGTGTACTGTGGTTCAATCGGGTTGACACGTAAAATTACTCATTACAATTGGTAGAAATTTTGACTTTCATTTCCCTGATTTGGAAAGGAAAACTGTTTCTAGGCCCTTTAACAATTATGGCGTTATGTACAATTTATCACCCTTGTACATAAAACTTCCTTATTTAATAAATATATGAGTGCCTGGAGCTTTATATACAAAACAAAACCCCTATTTCATGAAGCTTACATTCTATGAGGAAGGAGATAATAAGTTAATAAAAATATGTCAAGTGGTCATGCTGCTGTGCAAAAAAACAAGGCAGGATAAAGGAGATAGCAATAGAGGAAGTGGGGTAGGGTGCTATTTTATATAAAAAGGTTAGGCAAGCCTCTCCATTATGTTTCTATTTAAGTAGGGACTAAATGAACAAACCAGAAAACAATGCAGCTATATGGATAAAAGGCATTCTGGGTAAAGGGAAGACACAGACCCTGAAGTGGGAGCACACATGGCAAGTTCAAGAACAGCAGAGTGGCCAGTAGTCCCATGGGGTGGAAGGAGTGCTGGAGTGGGAGAGTTACAGGGAGGGAGCTGACAAGACAGGAGGTTGTGGTCAGAAAGTGGGATGCTAGTGCAGTTACTAATAATAACAGAGTATGGGGATGGGTAGATGAAGTGGGGGTGGAGGGAAAAGTCTGCATCTGTCCTTATTCTGTGTCTCTGATTATTTCTGCTTTCTCACATTGTGACTGTACATTTTAGAACTATTTACACTTGTATTCACATTCTGCAACAGAATTCAGTTTTGTCTTCAGAACCCCCCCCAAGTCTTTCTGACAAAGAGCAGATTAAAGAGTAATTAGTTACTGCTCATCCTTGTGGTGTTTCTGGGGTTCCTAATCCAATTTAAGATCCTGTCAGTTATCTGTAATATAAATATAGTTTTCTAGTCCCATGTCCAAGATATTCTCAAATGAATGAGAGCAGAGTTTATTACTTTTCATGTTTAGGGCCTTTACTTTTGGCTTGCTAGGGATCTGTGGATATTTGACTCAATTCCTCTATTATAAAATGATGTAACACCTTCTATAGGCGTATTCATCAAATATTTTAATGCTGTGGAATGCATCTGTGGTTTTTGGAGGTTTTGAGGATGCAGTGATCTTAAATTTACTTCTAGGAAATTTGTGTTTATATAGATATTTTTCTCATGACTTGGAATAATGGCCTATAAATTCCAGGATGCAGCTGAGGATTGCAGGTTCTAACATCTACTGTTATCAGAAGGTATTTCATGATCTCTCCCAGCAGTTGAGGCCAAATTTCTGAACACTTTACTTTTTCCAAATGTATTTGCTGAATAATGGGTTTGGTTCTTCTTGGAACTTGTAAAGTTACCTCATGGAATGGAAAAATAAGTTTTTGCCAACAATTGGAACATACACTTAACTCTGTAACTATATTCAGCCAAACCATGTTCAGATGTTTGTACATGATGTGCTAATCATGTGCTCATTCTGTTGTGGACTGGTTTTGGTTAGTAATATTGGCATGCTCTGTGCCTGAGCAGGGCAGATATTTTACTTTGCATTGAAGGCTTAAATTATTGGGTTTAAAAAATGTTGATCTGATATATTTGATTGCTAGTTATTTCTTATGGATATCTAGATCCTTATATTTTGTTAGTTTTTAAGTTTTATTTTATTAGATTTTATATTAGTATTTCAATTTTATTATGTAAGATTTATTTTATGAAAATTTCAATTTTCATTGTATATTGACTTTATGAAATCTTTTAAACAATTTCAAAGATTTGAATATGAATTAAAGTTTTATTTTATTAGATTTTATATTAGTATTTCAATTTTATTATGTAAGATTTATTTTATGAAAATTTCAGTTTTCATTGTATATTGACTTTATGAAATCTTTTAAACAATTTCAAAGATTTGAATATGAATTTCAGAAAACTGATAAAAAGTCTGTTAATACCTTATTATAAAAATTCTTAAAGATCCCAGACCTTTGTAAGGAACCATCTGAAATGTTTGTATCTTCTCACTTGCCTCAGTATACTGTATTCAGTAATTGCAAAACAATTAACCACCATTTTTATCAAAGAAATTCTGTACTTACTTTCTTACCTCAATTGTTTCCCTTTATTTTATGACTTCTAATGACCTATTGTTTTCTTTAGAAAACAGCAAGGCTCGAAGTAATGATTTTGCTGAAAAGAATGGACTTCAGAAATACGAGTATGTCATACATCCGAGAACTACAGGCTTTACTTTTGTGGTAGACCGTCTAAGAGAAGGTAAGCGCCCATCTCAAAATGTACTTTTTAATAGACGTGGCAAGAATTAGTAACCTTTATAATTAGCCTTTTAGAATTTATAAAGCATTTTTTCATATTTTATCTCAAGAAATGAGATTCTGTATTTTAATACTAAGTTGGCCCCGTGTCCTAAAATGTTTGACTGTGTATTCTTTAAAAATATAAATATATCTTTGTAAAACAAATTTCTTTTTCCTTTTTCGGAACAGGCAGAAAATGATGCATACAAATTAGACTATAATTCTGTTTTTAAATGTTTCTCACAAGAGCAAAACTGTCTTAAAAGTATCTTATCACCTATATTAACCCTGTATTTCGCTCTTAGGATTTGAGAACATATCATTCTCTCACTATCTTATGTCGTTATAGTTTTTTTATAGCTTAAAAAAAATATTTTGCATTTTACTTTTTATTATAGCTCTGCATATTTAAATATTTATATAGCCATACACTCATATGTACATACAAATATATAACACACATATGAAGAAAAGGGAACTATCCAGAAGCATACTAAAGTGTTGATTTTACTAGAATAATTCAAAGCCCAGGGTCACCTAGCAGAAGAATCTTGTTCGCACATTTCTGCTCTCCACTCTGATTTCTAGCACGCTATATAGTATAATGGTGACGTCTGTGACAAATTATCACCTTTATCTGGTAGGTAGTTGCTACATTGTCATAAAACTGCTGTGCCTAACATGAAAAGTCTTGAACCATTATGTAAGAAAAGGTATAAAGTTCTTACTTCTTTCCCTAAATAGCATCATTGTTTCCTTTAGGGTTTAAGATACAAAGTATAACCTGCTGAGATAAAGCTTCTTTACAACTAAATACCCATGTGCACAATCCTTTAAAATCATGTTTGTATGGTAAACCAAAAATGTTGTTCCTATAAGTTTGGCTTGCTTTGGAAATTCTGTGGTTACACTAATATGACGTGGACTCGTGGGCTTGATGGTCATATTGTACACAGTCGTACAATATAGTGTATATAGTATATATCGTATAGTCATATACAATAAAGTGTATATAGTAAGTGCCCATCTACCCATAGAAGCTCACGGAGCATGCAGTTTTTCATGCCTGTGAAGTAGGGTAGAGAGGCACCAAGTCATTAAAGTAGTAATACTTTTTTTTTTTTTTTTCACTGTGGCACCTAACTTAGACTCGTTCAACAATATGTTTTCTATTTTATAGTATTTAATGATTTCTTTAAAGATATTTGTGCTATCATGAAACACATCATCTTCTGTATTTCTCTGTTAACAGAAGTATGCTGTTCGAATACATCTTTTGCTAATAAAGATGTTCCTAATGCAGGCAGGATAATTGAGAGATTATTTTATAGCGATAAGGGTATGTGCGTAGAGCTCTCTGTTCTGAAATCTGGAAAATATCTTAGTAGCAAACTGATTTATAACTTTGGGGAATGTGTACTTAGTCATCACTCAAAGTGTTAGTCAACAAGCACAATATGTAATTTTTCCTGCCAGAACTGGCAGCTGATTCCCCTTCCATCCCAAAAAGAGAGAAACACAGTTAGATGATTCCATTTGCTTTAGTTAGAAAAATGCAGTTAGACGATTCCATTTACAGTTAGAAACATAGACTGGGACCTGTACAATAATAAAATACTCTTAAATATTTTTCTTTAAAATAATAAAAATAGGAAATATGGTAACAATTATAATAGTAATAGCAGCTAACATTTATTGAGCATTTGCTAAGTACCAAGTATTATGCTAAGTGTTTTATATGCCTAAAGTCAATTAATCCTCACAGCAACCCTACCTATATCTAAATATTAAACAATATTTAATATTTAACTATTTAATAGTTATTAATATTTACCTCATGGTACAAAACTGAAACAAAAATTGAAGTGAAGAAACTTCATCAAAGTTACTGGAATTGGAATACAGTTTGTCTAACTGAATAGCCCATGCTCTTTGTACAATAATTTGTTACCTGTTGTATTTATAGTGTTATTTTAATTTAAAAGTCTTTAAATCATAAAGCATCTTTGTAAAATTAGTGAGCTGGAGTATGTTCTTCAAGAAAGAACTTTTTAAAAAGAAAGGAAAAAAATAGGCTAACTGATCAGATCGTGGAGGGGTGGTGGTCACAATTTAGGTGGTTATGATGCTGCCTGAGACAACAGTAGGGGCAGGCAGAGGCCAAGGAGGCATCAGCTGGGGAGTTGAGGGCAGCTTTGATTTGGGGGATTTGGGGATTGAATTGTGTCCCCCCAAAAGCTTAATGTGCTAGAGGCTTGGTTTCCAGTGTGACAGTGTTAAGAGGGTGGGAAGTCCTTTTATGGTAACTGAGAGATGGGTCCTGGAAGAAGTGATTGGTAGGGCCATGCCGTAGTGAATGGATTAATAATGGTGGTCAGGGGCGTGGTTCTGAGGGCTTTCAAAGGAGAGCACATGAGAGTCTCTTTCTGCTCTGCCACTTTCTGCCATGTGAGATCCCTGGGTCACTGTCACCACCAAGACCCTCACCATATGTGTTCCCTGAACTTTGGACTTCCCAGCCTCTGAAACTGTAAACAATAAATTTTATTTTCTTACAAATTACCCAGTTCCATGTATTTTTTATAAGCAATATTAGTTGAGTTGACTGTTTTTTTTCTTTTATCTGAGAAGTAAGAGAGCATAATGCCCTAGCACATTCTTCTCAGAGCATTATATATTACACTGATAAACACCTGTCATGAGTGATTTATTTCATAGGTACCTCTGATCACAGAGTCTTTCAGTATGTGATTATGTATTTTTTTTTTTAGTTCTTGGATTTACC